GGGGGAAGGTGGGGGTTTTGCCTACAGTATACTTGGGAATGCCTTTGGGAGCCAAGAGTAAATCAAAAGGAATATGAAATAATGTATTGGAGAAATGTGAAAAGAAATTGACAAACTGGAAGAACCAATATCTGTCAATGGGAGAGAGATTGATCTTGATTAATTCTGTTCTAGATGCCATGCCTACATATATGATGTCTTTATTCCCAATGTCAGCTAGTGTAGTGAACAGAATTGATGCCCTTAGAAGAAACTTTCTATGGGAAGGTAATTGTGAGAAAAAGAAGTTCCACCTGGTTAAGTGGGGTGATCTAATTACAAACTAAAAATCAGGGGGTTTGGGGATCAAAAATCTGAAAATCCAGAATCAGAGCCTGATGATGAAGTGGTTGTGGAAGTTTGCAGCAGATGAACAAACATTGTGGACATAAGTGATTAGGGAAAAATATGGAAAGGAAGGAAGCTGGACAACCAAAACAGTAAGGAGGCGATATGGAGTCAGTCTGTGGAGATCAATTAGGAACCTATGCCCAAAATTAATCAATAAGGCAAAGTTCAAATTTGGAAATGGTAGGAAGATCTCACTATGGGAGGACAATTGGCTAGGACAAGGACCTCTAAAGGGGCTCTTCCCTGAAATTTTCAATTTATGTCAACAACAGAATGCAACTATAGAAGAGGTATGGTCAAACCAAGGTTGGAACCTCACATTCAGAAGACTGTTAAATGATTGGGAGATTGACCGAGTTGTGGAATTCTACAGTTCTTTGCAGCAGTTCAGTGGCATCTGCTCAAACCAAGATCAAGACATGATCAATTGGCAAGGCAATAGTCAAGGGAAGTTCTCGGTTAAAAATGCTTACAAGGAGTTTAACCAGACCAATAATCAGGTGGAATGCTGGCCATAGAAGATGATCTGGAAAGTTAAAATCCAATACAAGGTGACATGCTTCACATGGTTACTGGCAAGAGAAACAGTGCTAACTCATGACAATCTAACTAGAAGAGGATTCCAATTATGTTCCAAATGTTATCTATGTGAAGAGGAGGCAGAGACAATTCACTATCTTTTTTTGCATTGCAAGTTCACCACTAAGATATGGAGAATCTTCATCAGTCTGAGGGGAATTCAATGGGCAATGCCAGGAAGAGTCCTTGATATTCTGGCAAGCTGGAGTAAAATGGGCACACTTTCTAGAGAAGGGGAGAGATGGAGGATTGTCCTAGCATGCATATGGTGGACAGTTTGGGAAGAGAGGAACCAAAGATGTTTTGAAGATAAGTTTAGCAACATTCAGAAGATTAAGATGAAATATTTTGCTCTTTTTTATTTTTGGTGTAAAGGTCAGCTTTTGGAGGATCATGAATCCATTTTAGATGTATTAGAGTCCTTATAAGAAGAAGATGAAGGAGGACTAGGAGTGCCTACTTTTTGCTAGGGCACCCTTTTTTGTAATTATGGGTGGCTTCACAATTTTAGTGAAGTCTTATATCAATATACAACTATGTTACCTTTTTCAAAAAAAAAAGAAGAAGAAAACAAGTCGGAAAATTGCATTTTTGCATCTAATAGCCTGTTTGGCCAAGCTTCTTTTTGGCCAAAAGTGCTTTTTTTGGGCCAAAAAGCACTTTTGGCCAAAAATTGAGGTGTTTGGCCAAGCTTTTGGAAGGAAAAAAAGTGCTTTTGAGGAGAAGCATAAGCAGTTTTGGAGAAGCAGAAAAAAGTATCTTCTCTCCCAAAGCACTTTTTTGAGAAAAATACACTTAGAAGCAGTTTTTTAAAGCTTGGCCAAACACTAATTGCTGCTCAGAAGTGCTTTTCAAACTAATTAGCCAAACACAAACTGCTTTTCACCAAAAGTACTTTTGAGAAAAGCACTTTTGAAAAAAAGCACTTCTCAAAATAAGCTGATTTTTGCAGCTCGGCCAAACGGGCTATAAATCATATGGTTGACAGTATTTTACCTCATATATTTCTCTTAATTATAGTTTTTTCGATTCTTTTGTTCAAGTAAATTGTTTTGTCTTTATAATGATTTTTTTGTGTGCATAACATACGCACACACGTATTCCTCATTAGGGCCTTGGTCGCAAGCCCATGCTTTAATTGCACTTTACGCTTAAAGCTCCATCAAAGCCTTTGCGCTTTTTTGTGCTTTTTGCCTTTGACAACTCTTGTTTCCTGTTTTTGGTGCTCATATCTCGCTTACCATGTGAAACACTTATTATCTTCAGTCCTCAGACTGGTTTCACATTGGTAGTCTCATCACTAAACTGGAGGAAGAATATCTTCATATTTTTATGTTATAGTTATTTATTTCTTTCATTTTTAGTTCTAAGGATCTGCAGTTCTCATAGTATTATTTCATGAACTTCCTTTGCAGGCAAAGCATCAAAAGGCCAATCGCAAAAGAATCAACAGGCTGTTTTGGAGGTAATTCTTTTGCTCTCCTCTTATTGTCACTAGACAATCGACCTTGCTTGAGTTGACTTTTTCATGTAGAAATTTCGGACTGGTGAATACAATGTCATTGTTGCAACATCAATTGGTGAAGAAGGTCTGGATATCATGGAAGTAGATCTTGTCATATGCTTTGATGCTAACATATCACCTTTGAGAATGATTCAACGCATGGGCAGAACTGGAAGGAAACATGAAGGACGAGTTGATATCCTTTTCATCTTGTTAGGATTTTCCTTTTCTTCTTCTTTTGAAATTCTTTAAGACCAAACTTTTTTCTCTGTACTTGCATATTCAGTTCCTGGAACCCAGTTTTTGTCTTTATTTCAATAGATTTCCTTAATGAAGTTCTACTAGTTTTAGCTCACGAAGGAAGAGAGTTAAAAGGTTACTTACAAAAGCAAACAAGCGGCAAGGCCATTATCAAAGACATGAGAAATGGGCGAATTCGCTTTTCATTTTATTCCAGTCCAAGGATGGTACATCATATCAACAGATTTTCTCATCAGCTTCAAGGAAACTATACCTTCTTAAGTCTTTATATTTGTCTATTGTAGATTCCACATATTTTTAAACCAAAAGTCCAGTTCCTCAAGCTATCAATTCCACAGTTTGTTCCTCGTGGAAAGAACATAAAAGATGTTAGCCCCATTCAAGTGTCTGCATTGCTGAACAAATTAAGTGATGAAGAAGCAAACTTGCTTGCGAAATATTTCAAGTTTTCTGGTCAGGAGACTCGGGACGCATGGAGGCCATCACTTATTGCCTTCCGTCATTCTCAGGCATTTCCTTCCAAAGTGCACAGAGTGGCGCATTCATTTAGAACAGTGATGCTAATAGATGCCATGCAACATTTGCAAGAAATATCTTTTCCTCGAGATATCAAAGCTTCTATCAATGAGGTTCTTATGCTGATATTTGCTTAACTTTATTATTTGTAGAATAACTGAAAATTGAATCACTTCTCTTTGATGGCTCAGGATGAAACTTTTGAAAATTTATCTATGAAAGTTGAAGCCACCAAACCATGTGAAGAAAATCTGAAAGGTAATATACACATACTCTATAGCTTCATCACCAAAACTATCAGCATTTTGAACATTTTACTGATTGATGTTTGATAATCTATTACTTCACTGGCTCTACATTACCACTGAGTCTGACCGAAATTATATGTTTCTTTTCATTAAATGGAATTCATATTCAACGATTCAATTTAGTACAAATAATGCCGTGATATGTTAATTTGCCCTTCCATATGACGTCTTTTCAACAATTTTCCACCAGTTTTACATGGTGCAGCAGATTATCTCCAGCCAATTTCAATATAATAGCACCTTGTTGTCTTAGTATCCATTATAATTTAATGGATACGTGGAAAAGATGGAGGTTGCACTTTTGTTATTTATGCCAATAAAATAAAGACAGATTTCTTCTAGCGAAAGCTGCTGCCTCCAACAACCCCCCACC